ATGTTCATCTTGGAGTCAATGATGACTCCAAGGTCCTTTTCCGCCTCCGTGCTGACAAGAGGAGAGTTCCCCAACCTGTAGGTATGGTGCCGGTTGTTCCTCCCCAGGTGCATCACTTTGCACTTGTCTGTGTTGAAACCCATCCTATTTAAAGTAAAGCGACTTTTGTTTTCCTTTTTAACATCTGCAAGCATTAGTATGATCCTGTTCTTCTCTGTTATAGTCCCTGCAAAAATGCAAAAATGTAGGTGCTTCCTTCTCCTCCTTGACACATTTTTGTAAATTTGTTGTAAGTCTAAGATGACAGCAGAGAAGTTTATAGCTTTTCAGGGATTTGAGAAGGGTGAAATTAGATCACACTTAAGTCCACTGGGGTGCTTAATAGATGGAGTAAGATCTAGTTCCCATTTTGTCCTGATGCCCATAATGTCATCATCATACTGGAGATGGAGTTGAAGTTCAAAGTGAAAATGTGGCTAATTGAGACTTGGTTTATTATCTAGGTAAGCACCCAAACTATTACAAATATTCTGGAAAAGGAAATATTGTAGCACAAGAATTAAGAGGCTAACTTAACCAATTATTCTTAATTCTTCCCACGGTATGCAAGTTGTTTGGGTTTATTTCTTTTAGTGAGAGAAGTCAGAGAAGTTTGAAGTAACAAACAAGAAAGGAAACTGAGAAAAAGAAAAATGGCACAAATGATGCCATGAAAGGTCCACTTGCAGTGGCATTGAGGAAACTTATCCTGTCAAGAGGAGAAGTGGTATCCCATCAATTTCTGCAGAATTTACACACTTCAAAAGTTGAATTGAATTGATACAGTACTGTCTTTCTGAGCCTGCAGGCTAATATCACTGTTTCCCCGGCTGCTGTTTTCTCATTAGCAACATTTTAAAATTTTGCAGCACAAGTTCAGAATCTAGTAGGGTATGATGACAATGGTGATTTCACTTTGCTTGCTACTTGCCAACGCCTTGAGAAATAGCAGTCAGTCATTATGGATATCAGCATGGGAGGAAGGTCAAGAAAAGATTCAAAGAGTAGCAGTGCAACAGAGACTCTCCCTCTTCTCTACAGAACAGTTGGCAGGAAATGTAGGATACATCAGTGTTAGCTTTCAACCCCAGAACTGCTAGGCAGCGTTTTTTCTCCTTGTTAAGTAGGCTAGGAGATATGGCTTCAGATGGGTCCAGCTCCAGTGTAAAGAAATGACAGTGAATTCACAGCAAGGCCAGTGCACCCCATACTGTAAAATTCATTGTGCTATGGACTGCACTTTTTAGTAACAGCCATTCTTCTAAAAAGGGGTATAGGTAAGAAAAGCAGGGCTTCCTTGGATGATACAGAAAGATTTGAAGGAGTAAGTACCAATACAGAAAAAAATCTGTAGCATGCACACAGATTATTCATGTGGCTAAAATGCCTGCTAGAGATGTCTCCCTTGGTTTCTTTAGGCATGGGGATACGATTTTAATGGAAGGACTAGAGCTTTAGCTCTTCAGTTCTTAATGACTTTACATGGTAACATTCCCATGAACAACTTTTGACTATGAATTCCTTAAAATCTCCATAAATCCAAGGCCAGGAAGCATCCAAGAGCATCTAAAATGAAAGATGTATGTGAATAGGATGGTGGTGTGACTCAACAGTGAATGTGTTTGCTGTATGCAAGGAAACTTTAGTTCTGGAATAGGATATTTTAATTAATGGAACTCAGGCATTGAGTGCGGGTTCCAGCCATCCCTGAACATTTAGGACCAAGGTTCAAAACAGCTTTTGAAAGGATTAAGATTCCAGACACTATAGCTGATTGATTCATAGAGATATCAAATACCTAGGAGGTCACGTGCTTCAGATGAAGGAAAACTACCTGATTTTAACAGGCCATTATTAGGGCATTGGTGGAATGCTAGAGCTCTGCTGATTCATAAACTGTGTCTAAATGAGAGGTATTTAAGTTTAAAAATTCAACAAATCCCTTCACTGAATTTCTCCAAGACAGACATGAGCAGTCTAATAGCCTACAAACTGCTGGCTTAGTTGTCGATATGAACTTTCACTCTCAACTCCTGCGAAGAGGGATTAAGTAAACTGACACAGTGCTATCTTTAGTATCTAATAAGTTTCTATAAAGGTAGCACTAAGGCCTAGTATTTCAGATGCATAAATTAGTACTGAATTTGTATTCTGCTGAGTGCACAGTAAACCTATACTGGTGAAGGAACCTTTGGAATCTCAGTAAAATGAGTCATAAAAGTAGGTAGGAGTTGACTAGTTAGAAAGAAGAAGTCTATTTAATCATATGAATAATGTAGGTTTGAAATCAGCAATTGAGGGCAGAGGTACTTTGGATTGCGTTTTTATTTTTAAAATACGAAGTCAAAGTAGCTACAGATGCACAGCATGTCAGGAAAGCTTTTGGATGTGTTACAAATCCATATGCTATATCTCAAGCTGCTGAAGGTTTCCATGCAGCTTTTTCAAACATGCATTGCTTTTGTTCTCTTCAGCAGAGCCTTGAAAACTAGTGTCAGGGTGGCTTATTCATTCTTTTTTTTTTTGTGGAAAAATGAATCAAGAGCTATAACAACAGCTATTGTTTTAGTAATTTGTTACTTTGATTACCTACTAAATCTACTGTTGTTCAGACTCATAACACTGAGGCAACCAGATGCGTTAGAAAAAATATAGCTAATGCAGCAGTAACTCTAGGTGAAGAACAGCCTAGCTGACATCTGTATGCTGCAGATATACCGTATTTACCTGAATTCAAAATGACTTTGAATTTAAGATGATCCCCCAATAATCAGATTCTACACATTGAAAATTTATAAATGTTTTTATGTTTCCATTTATAGAATCTAACTATTGGAGATCTAACTGTTGTCTTAAAGTCGTGCCCCCCCGCCGCAATTGCAGCAACAGCGAAAACAGCAGCAGAAGGCTAGCAGTAGGGGAGCAGGCAGTGTTAGGGACAGATGGCAGTAGAGTTGAGTAGCCTGGCCCCTTTCCCTTGTACTCTGCCTCTTGTCCCTCTCCCCCAACTTGCCTCTCATGGTACCAGCTGCCCTGGCATCTGTTGTGCCCCCCTTGCCACTTGCCCTCCCCTAGTAACTACCCCCCTGCCAGCACCCCTTGGCACCTGCCCCCCACTTTTGCCTTGTCCCTAACCTCTCTTGCCACTTACCCTTCCTGACCCTGGCTCCAGCCCCAGTTGGTGCAGAGCAGTGCAACTGTTGTCCCAACACCTGCCCAACCTGGCAGCAGCAGTTGTGGCAGCTCCAGCCTCTTGGGGACAGAGGCAGTGAGGTGGTATATTTGGTAGGGGGGCAGGCAGCTGTTATGGCTCTGACTTGGGTCAGGGTCAGAGTCAGAGCTGCAGAACCTGTTTGTTGTCCCCTGCCCCACTTGTACTCAAATCCAAGATGAGGGGTTTCCCTGCTCCATATTAAATGGGAAAAAGCCTCATCGTGGATTCAGGTAAATATTATACTTTTGGAACTTTTATGTCCTTTTGCAGATCTGTTTTAGTTTGATACTTTTTAATGATAGCTCTAGGTTACCCTTAAAAACAAGTATATGCTCTCCTGAAAGTCATAGAGAGAAGGAATATTTTGATTTTGGGAGTTTTCCAAATACCTTTTATGAACTGCAGTTTTACTACAGAACACCAGGGGAGTGACAGAGAAATTAGTTTATTGCTTTGTCTATCCAGATATGCCCATATACCATTCCACCAAATTTATCTGGAAACAAGTTTTTACAGCTGGATTTGTTTGGCTGGATAAAATATTGATTGCAGAATAATTAATCTGATTTTTATTCAATATTCTATTTGCAAATAAATTATTATCTATTCATCCATTTCTACAGATAATCAAATCATATTTAGGAAGCAATTTGAATATTTTTTTCAACTATCATTGAGTGAATCCAATTACCATGACTAAGCTTTCCCACTTTTTGACCAGCTCTCTGTCTCATATTTCAGTAACCAGAAACTATCTTGTTAGGTCTTGTAGCTTCCTTTTCATGTAAGTTAGGGCAGCAGAAGGATGGCGCTATCATCTAGCCTTTATGCCAGCACTATGTTCTTGTTGGCTTCATCAAGTCCTTACAGGGTAGCTGTAGTAATTCTCATGGCAAATGGCTTTCCTGAAGATTCTCTTTGTATCAGGAGGAGAAAACTCTGTATTCTTTTTCTCCACATCTCCATTGTCCTGATCTAGAGAAGATGCCCATCCTTTTTCATTCATGCTTCGGCCTTCTTGCTCCTTTCCTATCCTTCACTCTCCACTATGTGGATCCCAGGGCCACTGAAGTACCCTCCCTTGGTCCTGGAGAAATTGGAAGAATATTGCTTCCCCATAATAGAGGCATGAACAGCATATAGAGGGCCACCTCTGTACACAGGTTTACTGGATACATGAAGAAGCCTTATGAACACAGTGTCCCTGTCCCTCTCCATTACATTACTCCTCTACAATGTGAGCCAGGCCCAATAAAGCCATAAATGTGTAGCCTTCTCATATCATTAATTATAATTTGCATTCATCTTGTAGTTCCCAGCTAAATTTCCTTCAGTACAAAGTCAGCTCCTGGTTAATTAGATACTTAGTATTCTTAGTTTATAATTTTAAATTTTAGTAGACACTAAAATGTGTTATTCATTCTGCTTTTGAAAGCTTTACTGCTATGATAACTTTTATTCATGTGACTAAACTTTGATGTCTTATATTAAATCTTAGACGCCGACTGCACAAGCTAGGTGTGTCAAAGATTACCCAGGTTGATTTCTTACCTCGGGAAGTGGTGTCCTACTCCAAGGAAACACAGACCCCTCTGGCAACACATCAATCTGAAGGTGAAATATTTCTTATTTTAAAATTTATCAACAGCATTTGGTATCATAAAGAAAATAATGAAGACTTTGCTTTGCATATATAATTATAAGTAATATAGTATGCACTAATAATACTACAGTCGTTATACTAATGATTTTGATATTTCTATTGTATTATGCATTCTTTTGATCTGATATGTCTGTTCTCCATAAATATTAGGTTTTTCATTTTTGTCAACATTAATAGACAAGTAGCAGACAGAAACTTAAAGTTTCAGGACACAGAATATACCCCTAATGGGCCCTGCATTAGAGAGAGAGATCAGAGAAACATATTATTATCAACTATAGATAGAAAATATGAAAGATGAGAAAATGTTCAAAAGATAACTGGATGCTTTACTATAAAAATATGTGGAATTGGTAGCACAGAGAAAATAATGAAGACTTTTCTTTACAAATATAAGGTAAATACTAATAATTTTGATATCTCAACTTATGCATTCTTTCAAGCTAAGTGTTGTTTGTGTTAATGGGTTTTTGTGAGAATAATTATAATAATTATTTTGCATTTTTTTAAATTCAGGTAAAACCAAAGCACAGCTGCCTAACCTTACACAGTATCATCATAGCAGTAGAATGGGGGCATATTTTCAAATAAATTATTATGTTTGTACTTAAGAATTGCTTTGTGACATGTTCTTGCTTTCTCAAAGGAAGCTGGATTCATTCCAAAGGATCTGTAAAGAGGTAACGTTAGAATGTTACTGTAGTTTATTGGCTTAGCGTGCTTGTGTCTTCCTTTAGCGGATAGCCCCCCACAAGAACAGAAGTGGGTGCTTGTTTACAGTTTTTCAAGGAATAGGGAATCTACATTTTGGTGCAAATAGTCCTGAATCCTGTTCCTTCTAGCAAACAGTTTATATCCAGAGGCCGATCCAGATCTCCACCAAGCCAGAAGCAGGGGAGTGGGAGAGACTGTATCTGCCTCCATTGCCATGGTCCCAGATGAACTTAGCCCCTGTGCAGCCCAGTTGGAGAAGGCAGGGTCTTTCCTTGCCTCCAGAACAGCCAAAACATGGGCAGCACCCACGGGCAGCACCAGGCAGGGAAGGGGGAGAACAGCAGGGGAGGGGAATGGAGAGGGGAGGGGAGAGGATGTGCCTTTGAGTATGGAGGTAGGGCAGCTGGGGGGAGGAGACTGGGAGGGTGCAGCCACCCTTGCAGCACCAGTTGCTGTAATCATACCCCACTTTATAAAATCCTGGATCTGTCTTTCTATATGCCTGCGGAGCTGTTGTTTGTTGTAGTATGCTTTGCCATCAAGAAATTCATAACAAGAATTCTTGATATTTGACATTCTAGTGTTGGCCTGACTGTTAGATTAGCTTACTGAAAACATATGTTTGCCATGACTGTACCATGTGGGCATGTGTTGATTTCAATTTCATCTTATGCCAGTTAACCCTTTGTAAAATTAATCATCCTTCTGGTGCAATGTATTTGTTCTCCTTAAATATTTTGCTTCTCATTTTTATCAGCATTAACAAACAGGTAGCAGATGGGCACAGCTTCAGTGCACAGCACGCACCCCCTGGGGCCAGCATTAGAATCAGAGAGCTATAGGAGGCACATATTATAATTTACTACAGCTAGAAAGTATGAAAGATCAGAAAAGGTTCAAAGGATAACTGGATGCTTTACTATAAAAAAAAAAAAGTTAAATCTTCCAGCTGGGATGAGACCATAGCCAGATACAGCAGGGTGTGGCAGTATGAACATACCCCACTTCTGCTGCTGCCTTCAGCTAATTCAGGCACAGGGGAAACCCTAGAACTGCTCCTGCCCTGCTTCAGCCACAAGCTGTGGCTGTGCAGGGTGTCAGGCTTGGTAGGGGACAGTGGTAGTGGTGTGCAGGTTCTTTTTTCCAGCACCAGCTCCCTGCCTGCTTTGCTTCCCCTACAGGTGTTCCTCACTGGCCAGGAACAGATACCAGAAGGAGGGACCTGCACAGATTCAGGCATGGTGAGGCTTCTACCCATTGGGTTTCTTCTACCCATTTCTACCCCACTCTTCAGGAAGCAGCTGTGCAGGGAGCTGAACTCAGGTGGGGACAGCAGCAGCAGTGCAGAGGTTTCTCCTTCTAGTGGAGTGGTTTTCAACCTTGAGGCACCACTGGATAGACTCAGGGCACCCCTTGGAAAATGCCAGCTCTTAGTTCTTGCTTTTGGTTTATCTCGTGAATCATATTTGTAAACCTACCAATGGTAAGATTGTGTGGCACCCAACAGCACCCTTAAAAGAATCTCAAGATGCCCCAGAGTGCTATGGCACCCCAGTTGAGAATCACTGTTCTAGTGCCTGCTCTTGGACATCTGCAGGGGACACTGGAGTGAGAGGCAGGCAGGGCACAGAGGCTGGAAGGAGGAACCTGCATTTGGCTGCCACTGTCCCAGCCATGCCCAGAACCCTACACAGCTGCTCCCTGCAGGCAGGCACTACAACAGGGCAGGAGTAGCTCTGTCCTCCATCCTGGCCTCAGGTTAGTGAGGGACTGTGTCCCTGGGTCCACCCCCTGCCCCCCTTCTTGTGCCTGCTTCCTACAAAGCTTTCCAGTGTCCCCTGTCAGCCCAGGGGATGCTTCAGCCCAATCCCCCGTGGCCCACCACATCTCCCTTTAGTGAATCCTGCATCTTTCCATGGTTGAGACTAATACATAAGAAGCAAATAGATTGCAGTACGTTAAACAATTCCGTTTAATGTAGCTTATTGCTGGAGGGGATCATAGGGTAGTAGGGATGGAGGGTACTCTTTTTGTGCAAAAAAGCACACTGTTGGCTCATATTCAGCATATGGTCTGCTGCAACCCTCAGGTCCTTCTCTTCTGTACCGCAGTTTAGCCAGTCATTCCCATCTGCATCTGTAGTTGCAGGCTTAGCATGTATGGTGAATCAAATGCATTGCAAGGCAACTAGTGCCAGGGGGGACTGGATGCTCTATATAGCCTTAATTAACAAAGCCTTTCCTAAATACCAAGAATTTCTGCACTAAGCATTAGGCGAAAGTCATTATGAAAAGGTAAAATAGAAAGAGAAAACACAGAGAGTTCAGTAGCGAAGGTTGTCTAGACCAGTGTTTCTTAACCAGTGGGATGCGAAGGTTGTGTAGGTGCAGCTTATCTGGAAAAAAGTGGCATTCCTGAGAAAAGTAGGGGGCCTGCAGGCTCAAGATTCTGCAGGAATACACTTCTTGGAAAAAGTGGGGTTTTGTTTTTATCATGGTTGGATCAGGGTTTTTTGACAAAATGTTTGTTGGGATGTAAGGTACAAAAGGTTGAGAACTGCTGGACTAGACCTCAAGCTTAGTAAAGAGAAGAATGAAAGGAAAGTGCATATTTCTCATCTCATCATCCTGTGCTCCATCACAAGACAGGACAATGCCTCTGTAGAATTCTGATGGAGGCAAGGATTTGTGGTTACCAGTTTTCAGTCCTTCATAGCTTCTCTGGGATCATGTTTAAAGAAATATAATCAGGAAGAGTAAAGTTTAGTATTTCAGCATGGAAAACAATATATCCCCTGATGTCTGTTCTTAAGTGAGTGTAGGAGGTTGAAATTGTACTTAATTTCCAGTCTGTGGCCAGGGGTATGCAGGTAAAATTAGACACAAATGCTGCTTTTGTTCAAAAAGAGATTCAAAAAAGAGTAGTTAAATCTTAGAAGTGGTAATTAATTGGAAACACCTGGAGTATCATTTCAGCCAATGACAATAAAGTAAATTAATCTTAATCCCAGTTCTCTACAACACTAATAGTTGCCCATATAAATGCCTTCATTTTTTGAGTGGG